AAAAAAAAAAACCACGAAATTGATCACGTTGCTATAAACTTTTTTGCCAACTGTGCCATTGAGTTTCCTATTCCTATTTCCTTTAGTTTAAGTACAGCAACAACACCAGTAACCCTTGATTATCTTGCCGCGTAGGATTCCATAGTCGAAACGTAATTACAACACCAACGAAAAAGAAAAGACAATGAAACACACTTGCGATTTCCTTCATCGATATTTTGCCTTCTGCAGCTAAATGTACTGCATTTGCGCATAAACTCCACAACATCACGATGTACGGATAAGACTGATAAAGTACACCAGCCTGTAATGGAGCACCTAATAACAACATAAACCTAAACAAATATAAACACTACTCACCAGAAGAGCATGTACAACAGCAATTTTCGGAATAGAAAGTAGAGCATAGTAAAATGCTTTCGCATCTCTATTTCGCTTCAAAATGAATACATAGAGTATCGAACGGCAGCACAGAACAGAAAACAAAAGAAACAGCAAGTACATGAAAGGCAGGGAATACCTAGAACAGTTTTGACAGGATGAAAATTTGCGAGAAAAATATATTTGCACATGCAAATATCAACTCACAAGGGAAAAACCACTTCATAGGAGCACCGCATCGGTTTAACATGATTAATCATGGGATTGTAGAACTCAGGATACCTTAACGAAGTTAATAATTACTGAAATTCGAAAGCATCACTGAAACTGAAAGTTTTCTATGGCAGCCCTTAGAATTCGGCTGAAAGTGCTGGATAACAGGCCAGCAAGCATAACCAGAGCTTAAGAAGTGGAGCTGTCACTTTAATTACCAGCAATGCTCACAGGATTTCTGAATAAGTGGGTAACCTCCCAGTGGTTTTTTCGTCTTCTGATCGGTCCACTGTACCACAACCACGATACATACCATACAGGTGCATGGTAAGCATGACGCCACTTGCATGCCATGACTGTGGGGTCAACGCTCATTTTGTGACCGATTACATTCCACAAACACACATAGCACAAAAAGAGGCCTTCCAAATCCACACATCAAGCAGTCAATGTAATATGGGTAATAAGTTAAAAAAAGACAAAAATTTGAGTGTCTTAATCACGACCAATTTTACCATGAAGCAAGGTGCTGACCACACAACATCGCTCAGTGAAAAGATGTCGCGTCGACAAATTAATCAATTCATCACGCCCGACGGAAACTTCTAGCACGCTTATGTTTAGAATTAGAAAATCATGTCAAAGAAGAACTTCTGAAGAAAAAAACAAACAGTGCGCCTAAAATCTCAAAATGGATGAAGGGTGTTCAAACCTAACATTAATGAAATGTAAACGGCGGGACAAAAATTTAACTAACCAGGGAGGGGTAGTCTACTTATCTTGGAACTTTGAATTCAGACCCAGATAGATCGATAGGGTTTTGAATGCTGTTTACGAAAATGGAAATTAAA